AAAGCAAACAATCAGAGCCAAGAAAGATAGTTGATCGTTGAGTGTCATTTCCAGGTTGTCAAATACAGATGTTTTAGGACCCTGGGAATGAGACTAAACAATCAACTATCTTCAAGTCTCCAACCCAAAGCGTCTTTATATCTTTCTTTGCTATGATTGTTTGTTTACATTCAGGCCCGGTGGATTCTTGCTACTGTCAGGATAAAGTTAAAGTTCTGCAAGTAGGACAAAGTTATTTTCAGGTCCTTGGTATGGGTAAAACACTACATTTCCCATAATGAAACCCAACAGCATCTCTGCATTATGGTGCTTTCCATTTGTATCGGAAACCGACCGTCTGAGTTGGAAAGTGCCCCTGCCTCATAAAACACCCACGTCAACCTCCTTGTCCGTTTTTTTGCAGACTTTGTTTGCTGTCTCCAAGCCCAGGAGATTTTTTCTGATTATCTGTCTCATGTACTACACGATATAGTGAAAGTTTCAGCAAATATAAGATATTAATATGTAATTTTGTAAAAGTTACCTACTGCAGCTTTAGTTAATTAAGTTTCATGTGGTTACCACATTTAAGTCCACTTCGGGGGGTACAGCTGCTCACATCTGGAGAGGCACATCATGTCATCCAGTTACATCCCACCATGACGTCTGGTAATGGTGGACAGATCATGAAGGAAAAGGAGGGGTAGGCAGAACACCTCCCTCGTTAGCCATTTGTCCATACAGTACATTCCTCATTAATAATAACTGACCAGGCCCAAACAATCCTTTACCCACTCGGGACGCTCATGCTGTTGCCAGGGGAAACAGCTAGCAAGCAAACAAACAACACATCAGACAAAGCCAACAATGTGTTTCACCATTTGCATTTATTGAAGAGGAAGGAAAGGAGAGAAGCAAGTACAAAAGCGCAACTGAGCTACATATCAATGCCACGCTACTTTTGTCTGTCTCAGCTTTGAGTGCGAAGTTTAAATAGGAAGCAGATCGCAGTAGTACAACAGCTCACTGGTGGCCTATGGAAGGTAATGAGATGCCTCTGGTTTCTCTAAGTAACTGTGACACATTAGCATGGTGCTCTGAAGCTGCCGACCTATAGCTGCCACTGGCACAGAGACAAACTGCAAGACAAAAAAGGACTGTAATGTCAAGACACGAGTTTTCTACAAAAAAATGTTAATTTAAAGAAAACACTATCAGACACTTAAACACATTAAATGTGATCTCTTTGTGATGATTAACACATTCTAGGGGTCTCTGTTTAAGTGCTGCAATTTAAGTCATGAGTCAAGTCACTTTCCTGCTACTGTGAGAATAGAAAACGTTCTTTTTCCTTTACGGGTACAAAATGGCAGCCCTAAAAAGACACACATCCTCTTTCATTCTGAGGGACCTCCACCTAAATTGGCCACATATAGAACATCATCATCAAGAGTTGTGTTTAAGGATGGATTTTTCCTTTGAAAATCTTTCAAAAAGTAATTGCACTTTCCTGTAAATGCACTTAAGAATTGGCAAAAAAAAAACACTGTCCAAACTCATGACAGTCATGTAATTTCGGTCAGTAGCACATTTCAGAGGTTTATTGAGAGTAGGTGCTAAAAGGATAAATGTAGTCCTTTGAAATGAGTGGCCTTTATTTATTTTAAGTCTGCCAGTCAGCGTGACACCTGAACCCCTTCATGTAAGACCCAAATGAAAGCCGAAGAAAACCAACCACAGGATTAGAGAAAATATAAACATGTAAAACACAGATAAATAAATACACAGATGGCAGGAAGAAGACACCGCTATAGAAACAAGAAAACAGCACGAAGAAAAGCATTTTCAACCTTGCAGAATTTAAAGGCGACATTTGTTATGCTATGAAAGGAGAAAAGCAAATGTGACTCTAGGCTGTGAAGGAACAATATTCCTCCATATATGACACAAAATCTATAAAACATAAAGAAGTAGTTGATTCAATCGGACACTGTTGGCCACACACCTCCGATTTCACAGCCAACTGCTGTCTAAGCTTATACACATGTTTAAAGGAACAGTTCAATATTTTGGGGATTACTGCGTTCTTGCCAAAAGATAGACAAGAAGATTGATACCACACTCACTGTGGGGTATATATATGAAGCTACTGCATTTAATGGGGGGTGATGCTAAAACAATTTATCCACCATTTTACAGCTGCTTCTTTCACCATTTAAGCTAATTATAATTTTGGGCCAGTGTGCATCATGTGACAGACGTCATTGTTGTAATTACACAGTTTGGCCACTATGTCAAATTGGCTTCAAAGCCCTGCGCTCTTCCTGGGGGGCTTAACTGTTTCCAGTCTTTGAGCTAAGCTAAGCTAATAGGCGACAGACTCTAGCTTTATATGTAGCATACAGACACAAGGGTGGTAACAATCTTCTAATCAATAAACTCTCTGCAAGACAAATATGTGTATTTCCCAAAACACTATTCCTTTAACAAATCTTAAAAGCTGGTTACAAAACAAACAGGTTGATCCGAATAATAAATATGGAGATTGTCAATAAAATAAAACTTTAAACACATTGGGCTGTAAAGAACAAAAAATAATTTAAAAAATGCTGCCGACCGTGTTTAGTGGTCTTACACAAAAAGGTTGTGCTTGTATTTTCCTCACCGCTTGCAGCAGCAAGTATGGTAGTAACAAATAGTGACAATGTGTAAAAGTGACATGTTTTGATTCAATCGTGTCACTTTTGATTACAGGAGATAAATCTTTGAAATGTAAATGACTTCTGTCATTGTCTTTGTTGGTGGGGGGATGCCCTGGATTCTCCCTCCTGTACCTTTCAGGAGCTTCTACACACATTCAAATCTACATAAAATTTTGAGATAAATATTTATATTCACAAGGAAGCCGGTCCTATAGAGTAGACACTGCTCTACCAGACTTTGTCTTTTTTATGGTCTACGCAGTTAACATATTTTTTAAGAATATAAATAGCTTTTTTTTTTTTTAATCTAGTAAAAAAAAAAAAGAAAAACACTGGCTGAACACAGCTACAAAGTTTCACATGTTAACACACCGAATAAAAAAAGAAAATAAAAGAAGCTTAAAATGGGCCGTTCTAGCTTTTATACAGTGGTAAACCTTAGAGGTAGAAAAAGTATAAAATATCATTGAGAACTTTAACAAAATCACAGAAAAGGACACCAAAAAAACATGTTTGTGAGCTCCAACACTTCCCTGTGTGCCTCTGCTGTTCAGAATATAACTGCAGACATCGTAAGACAACACAGCCGTCACTGAGATAAAAGGCTGAAAAAAGAAGGGAAAACAGGTGGTAACGGGTAGGTCCCATCCTGGTGACACGGTCCAAACATGGCCAATGGCAGCTATAGCTTCCTCACTAACCGTCTGACTGCTTAAATACTGGAACAATGTGTGTGTTTGTAGAGACGCTGAGTTACTGAGAGTTACTCGCTCTGGGTTCCAACAGCCACTGTCAGCATCAGAAAATTGTCTGTGCACTGGTCTGTCAAACATTTCATACAATTACAATTACATACAGAAAGTGTAAAAGATCTGACCTGAGACCATCCTACTGTAACTGCTTGTATCATTTCAAATGTCAAAATTGTAAAAACTTGCAAACTAACAGATGTCTGCAGCCGTTAATACTAGGTCATATTTTACTCATGTTTTCACAAAATTTTTTGCAAATCTTGCAATCTTACAATCTCTATTTAGTCACGTGACCTGAGTGGTAAATCGAGGTCAAGGCTCCTATTTCTAGGAACTTTATGCATTTTGGGCCCAGGCCTTAATCACAGCCAGCTGGTCTTTGTCTGCCAAAACATGTTGCATGAGTCAATGCACTGCCAACCTGCGTTGTTTCGGCCGTCTCGGGAACAGAATGAAGTGCAGCGCAGGGTCAATACCGGCTGTCGCAGATTGGATTAGCGGGTGTGCCTGGTGCTCCGTGCTAATCAAGTGTCTGGGAGGAGGCGCACTAACCACGCACAATTACTTTCACTTTTCAGAAAACAAATGAGGTTGAGAGGATAACAGCGGTGATCAAACATGCGTAGACTGACATCACTGGCTGCTACATAGCTCATTGTTTTGCAGTGTAGTCATATGTTAATGTTGGACACGAATCTTAGTTGGAGCCGGAAACTACGGCTTTACTTCTATGGAAACCCAAAGAGCTCAATATTGAAGAAATAAAAATAAAATATTAAGAGCAAGAAAAAAATAACAATCACATAAATAAATTGATAAATGAACCAACAATTGAAGAAATTATTAAAACTTAATTTGTATGTTTTACACCATTTAATCATGTGATTATTTATTTCATATTTATTCAGTCAATATTAAACACTTTGGGCCTCCATACACTTCAGCTTTTCATCTAAGGGAAGTAGTGCATGTATTTTTAAATGAACCAATAATTTTAAAAGGTCCTGTGTGTAACATTTAGGAGGCTATATCGGCAGAACTATATAAAATATTCATAGCTATGTTTTCATTAGTCTGTAATCACCTGGATATGGGGATCACCTTTAATGGAGTCTGCCATGTTTCTTCAGCAGCCCAGAAGGGACAAACCACTGTTTAATTTTAAGTGTTTATTTTAAATGAAGCCCCCCCAGCCCGTTGATGGCAACTTTGACACATTCTGCAGAGCCAGAGCGTACATACTGACTCCACATAGCCAGATTTTAAACACTGAATACACTTCATTCCTATATTAGGAGCATTTACCTAACGTTCTTCTATTTTGTGTTATGTCCAAAGAAAAATGTTGATTTTCTGAACTGTGACAGTGACTGCTAAACCCAGAGTGATGGCTGACTCTGTAAGTGACTGACTGTGCTGAAAGCAAAGAGTATGTGTGTGTGTGAGGGTTTAGGCTCAGGGTCTGTGAGCATGCCAGTGTGCAGAGGAGGATGATCTGTCTGTGTACGTATGCGTTTTTTGGAGTGTGAAAGGAAGCTCCTCTACGTCCCTTTAGGCGGTGTCCATTTTAAGGCTGTGGGGTCGATGGTCTTGCCATTACCACGTTTGGTCTCCTTGGCCTTCCAGTCATCAATGAGGTCCTATAAAAGAAAATGCACCTTAGTTGGATTGGCTACAGCAATTTATTGCTATATAAGAAAGTAGGTTTGATTTCCTACCAAATGGACACAACAGCGTGAGTATTCTGAATTTCATTGTTTTGTATCTTACCTGTCTCTTTAAAACCAGGTGCTTTCCCTTCCAGTATTTGAGCATCTGGAGGGATTGCAGCGTGCTGACAATATCCACTGGGTTCACTGCCGTCTCCTGACTGATCTCTGTGAACACAAGAGGGACATGGAGGAGGTCAGAGGGATGGCATCAGAACTGTCTGATTAAGAAGATAGGAGTCTAATAAGACAGTCCTGATAGCGTCTCTGTGAGCTGCATGCTAACATCAGCATTCTAACATGCTCACAATGACAGGGACAGTCATATCTATCCAGTAAATATAAGGCTACAGTCAGCAGCAGGTTAGCTTAGCTTATTCTCTGAGGTCAGTTAACATGAACTGCTGAGCTGCTGCATTGTCCTTTAAGACTTCAATTTATTTGTGCTAAACATGATTATGCTGTTTCTATGCAACGAAAAAACCACTCAACATCATGAAAAGTTAGATAAAGCATGACCACAGTCATTCTTTATGAAATGTGCAAACACATTGGCAGAGTTAGGACTAATCAAAAGGCTTGTGATGACAAATCCCACTTAGTACAATGTTTGCTAATATCTACAGGCATGGCAGAGAATAGCAGAGTACAGTGAGAATGCATTTTGCATGCAAACTCGAATGATTTAGAAGGGTTATTTATATTACTGTGCGAGCTGAAAACATCTTCCTTAATTCAAAATAACATGAAGAAAATCTGAACAAAATAAAATAAAATAGAAGCTCAAAAGAAAAGGAGGACAACAAGAGTCTTGGACAGGAGGGAACAGAGTGTTATGACTGAACTATTCTCAGTTTGTCACACTGTCATGGTTGCTGCCTGACCCGTCTATTACTGGAGGCTCTCGCTACCTCTTTATTTATTGTGACAAAGAGATTTTTGAATTGCAGAGAGTCTGAGTTATTTGTAACAGTAACTAAAACCAAGTGCAATATTGTGTCTTAGTCAGTTGTAGTTGTCAACTGAAATTATCTAAATAATGAGAATACCTACACTGCATACTGTATAATTAGTGCTGTCACGGGGGTCAATGATCATTTAAGACTTTAAATGCTAAAACTCCCGCCAGTCCATATTTAATGAGAACTGCATGAATTCTCAGTGAGAGGCAGGGAACCAGAAAAATAAGTCAGGATTTAACTCCATTCAGCTTGAGAAAATGTGAATTAAAGTGAATTTCTAACTCATATCAGAGCTAAAAAAAGACATCATCAAGAGCTTAAATGTAGTTTTTGATCAGTGGAAGCACTCTGGAGCAATGTTTTTACAAGTGGGTGCACTCACACCAGACCAGCAGTACACATTCCTGCCATTGCTTTCGCATGATTCAGTTGAGTGACAGTTACAGGACGCACAATAAAACATGTGACAATAGCGGCATCCGCACAGACCGAAGTGATTGACAGACTGGCCACAGCAGTGTTAAAGTCATTAGAAGCACATTCGTGGCTGTTTGTAAAGGTTCCTGTGTGGTACCTGTGTTTTAGCTAAGCTAGTGGCTCAGAGAGGCTGTCCGGTATGTGTGAAGACGGTGAACATTACACTTGCTTAACATCACCACTTTTAGTGTGAACAAGATGGCATACTGACTGGTAGCTTTTCACTCAGACCCCCGCTGTGCCTAAGTGCCTTGCAGAGCTGTTAGTCTGGCTGTGGAGTCTCAGTCTTGTTTTTGTTTTCATCACAGTTGCAGGGGCTTTCCTCTGGAATGTATACAACCAGCAAAAACAAAACTGACTAAGCAGGATGTTCCCTCGGCCCTCTGAATGTGTTTTGGATGACTCAGTTTAAGTCTCGTGTGCCTCCACCTTCATTCATCACCTGAACACTGACTTGGAGTGGCCTCAGTGCTCTCTGATTCATTCACAGAGGCAGACACACATGAATGCATGCATGCACATATTAACACACACACACGAACACACACTCAAGATTATTGTCCTCTTTTGGGTATTCCTCCTCTGATTAAACACTCTTTTTGTTTAAATGTCATGACGGAAAATGCTTATTTTCATAAATTTGGTTAAGAAAGTCAGTATGAACACCAGCACTGATATGTTTCATCACAGTACAGTCATATAATTTAGTTAACAGCTAACTCTTTAATTTATGGGGTTTTCCCTCGAATGAATTACTTGGCCAACAATTACTCTGAGATCTGGATGCACCACTGCCCACCACACCTCTTTCCAGCCTTCTGGAGAATGCAGTCCAGTTCTGACCTTTGATGGAGATCTCCTTGCCCTGAAAGTTGTTCAGGTAGCGCAGCAGCACCTCCTTCCAGTAGCTCCGGTAGCTGATAAGGCCCAGGTCAGACAGGGGACGCTCAGGTGAACCCACCTTCTCCTCCACCTTGGACAACAGGTAACCTAAAAGGACAGATCAGACAGAGTTTTTTGTTGGCTGCACTCTCTCTTTTGCATTTCTTCCTTCCATGGAGAGAACAGAAATAAGGATACAGAAATATAATAAGTGCTTCAGACACCCTCCTAAATCCGTAAAAAAAAAAAAAAAACTATGTATGTGACTAAAGAACATAAAAGATGCACGAGGGATACACACATCGGGTGTTTATACTCACTGAAGTCTATGAGCATCTTGCCATATCCCTGCCTCATGTACTGTGGCATGGTGAGGATGCAGGACACGTTGTAGTTCAGGAAAGAGTTCTTCTCCTGCAGGACAAATCAGTAAACATGATGGTTTGACTGTCGTGTGGTTTTATCAGCACTGATATTAGTGAATTTGAAGATACTGATATTTTGAGCTGATGATCCAATGTGTACACATACAGTAGTTAGAAAATACATGGTATATTTCAGTTCTTTGAAGACTACCAATTTGTGAAGTTATTATTTTCACTAACTTCTAAAAGGTTATCTAAATACTACAAAACACTGGGCAGTTTTGTAGTATTCCAGTTGTTGTCTACCAGGTTACCTTGGAGAAGTATCCGACTAGATGGCACCCTGTGTTGTCAGCTTCAGTCATGACGTAGAAGAGGAATGGTTCAACGTCGTAATACAGAGTCTTGTGGTCCAGGAAGAGTTTCGCCAGCAGACACAAGTTCTGACAGTAAATCTGTGAGGAAAAGCACCAAAGGCATTGTAATTTATCAGAGCTTACAGGAAACACAGCTGGCTAATCTTTTTATATTCACAGCCAATCAACAAAAAGTTGCAGTTTTCCTTGAAGGGTAACTTCGGTAATAACCTGGACGCTATTTTCCTATGTTTCTCTGTCAAAGACTAGTGACTTAACGTGACTTGAATACTCAAGGATAAGAAAACGAAAAATTATTCCTGGACCTTCTGGGGAAAGGTCACGGGTAGTCAGCAGCACTTTTACCTTGTTCTTCTTCCCGTCCACCTCAAAGACAGAGATGTTCCCCTTCCTGTAGATCTCGTCACCTGGAGGGTGCTTCCACACACACTTGGCCTTTATGTAAGTGACAAGACGAAGCAGCAGAGGTTAGTTTATATACAAGTTAGAAACATTTCACTTTCAGTATCAGTCATTCTAGACTAAACTCCTAAGGTTATATCTTAAAGGCTAAAGTATCTAGTATGTGACCAGGCTTAAAAGGTTAGCACAGTAAAATTAGGGTTCACAAGAGACAGATTTAAAAGAATGATCAAAGCAAAAGAGGCAGAGATATTCTGACTTTTA